AAAAGACCTAAATTGTTCATTGTCAGCTCAAAGCTACACAAATAAGAAGAAATAAATTTAGGTCTTTTCTTGTAAATTCTATAACTTTGCAAAGAAAGGTCATGCAGAGGTGGGAGAGGTCTCATTTTAATCAGAAATTTGCGGGCTACAATCAGGCCTCATTAAGAAAGGCTTCTGTTATTTTTTAGAGTTTCTGAAAAACTGGTTTTCTAGAAATCCGGTCTCAGGAGGGCTATGGGCCGAAACGATTGCCATATTCGGATTCAGTGCACTTGATTACCTATTGTCCACTACCTTACGGCTCAAAAGCGATTTATCAGTTGGTGTCCTTCCCTCGTCAGTTCTGGCGGCTTTCGTCGACTTTTGTAAAGCGTTCGACAAGATCTCACATGAAGGTTTATTACTGAAACTAGCGAGTAAAGGCATTCGCGGATCGCTGCTTGGTTGGTTTTGCAGTTATTTGAATGAGAGGAATATTGTCACCATGGTAGAAGGCTTCACATCATCTAGTGCGCGTATCGGTTGTGGTGTACCACAAGGTTCGGTTCTAGGGTCACTTCTCTTTTTGTTGTTCATCGATGATCTTCCGCAGTCAATGGTCTGCACGTGCAGGTTGTTTGCTGATGATGTCTCTCTATACGGTAGTTAAGACGAATCAGGATGTGGTGAATATAAACAAAGATTGGGAGCGAGTTTATCAATGGTCAAAGGACTGGTTGCAGAACATAAATGTTCTCAAATGTTACTCGCTTTTCTTCACACATAAAGCTACAGCCAGTCCGCCAGCACTTATTCTTGGTGATACGACGTTGAGGTATGTTGATAAACATACTCATTTAGGGCTAGTTTTAACTCCCAATTTGGATTGGACTCCACATGTAGATAACGTTTATTCAAAATGTTCCAAAATGATTCGATCATTAAAATTGTTATCTCGTTGTATGGCAAGACGAGCACTTTTGTTAGCCTATCACTCATATGTATTTACTATAATGAACTTCGGTAGTGTTTTATACCATGGCACAAGTAGAACAAATTTGAACCGACTTGCATCTCTACAATATCATGGAGCACTTGCAGTAACAGGCGGTGTGAGACTTTCCTCGATGAAGAGGATACTGGAGGATCTCGGTTGGCTACCGATAGAGGAGACATTCATCAATCAACGTCTGACTTTATTCCACAAGATTATGTATCGGAAAGCCCCTATTGGATTAATTGAGTTGGTATCTGCTGATACTACTACTCATTCTCACAATTTACGTAGTCGTACTCAATGTAAGCTACCGAGACTCACAAGGGGTTTACAAGTTTTCGAGAAATCATTCATACGAACAACGTACAAACTATGGAATGAAATTCCGCTTGAACTACGGACGGTTGGTCGATGTAGTCAGTTCAAGGTACGTCTTCTTCACTGGAAACAAAATAAATACTTACCAAGTATTTATCGAATTCCGCATATTGTCGATAGAACTAATGAGATTAACTTTTGTCGAATGCGAATTGGTTTTTCACAATTAAAATTTGATCTGTTCACACATACACTAGTCAGTGATCCATCTTGTTCATGTGGCGCGGATGAAACTGTTGCCCATTTCTTTTTACACTGTCCAAATTACGCGCAGGCAAGGATAAAGATGAGAAGGAAAATGGTAGAATTAACTGTCAACAAATTTGAGAGTTGATTTTATTCTCCGTGGTTTCAGAGAACTCCACCATTCATTTGAACAGATGCAAAATATTTACAGAGTTATTTTAAAATACCTTGAGGAGACAAAGCGATTTGACCGTGTCTGATGTTTCTATTTCTTTTTTAGATAAAACTTCTCCCTCCACACACACAGCCATTCTTCCTACCGTCCTTTCACAGCACATTATGTTATCTGCTTTTTACTATTTTTGATCCTTGCTTTCTCATAATCATTCTTCTTATTCTTTTGCAAAGCCTATAATGGGTAAATACCCGATTGGTGATGCTTCTATTTAAATAAAAAATGGTTAAAACAGGTTAGTCAGATTGACAACACACATACTTATGGCAACAAGAACCAGAAAACTTTACAAGAATATATTTCCGTTGACTAGTAAATAACAGAATAGTTTTTTTTACAGATGTCACGTCATATTTTCAAAAAAACGGCTATATTAGTTATCAAATTTTGTTATAAATCGTTGCCTCTAAATTAATACTGAAGGGTAGTAACTGGTTGGTCCCAGAGATACAGCAAAAACAATGAGCCATTATTACCGATGGCAATTATACAAATATCATTATACTGTTATCTCTGTTTGAAGAAGATAGTGTTTTGTATTTTCCTTTTGTTTGTCAAACTAAAGATCGAAGGCATCTCATTTGATTCAGAAAAACTTGCTCTGCAGATGCTACATAGCTCTGACTCTTCGTCAGTCGAAGAACCGTAAGATGACCAAAATGTTGAAAGTTCGCCCAGGAATTTTATTCTGGTAGTAGAGTTACATGGCTACGTCGAATAGTTTCTGATTAAATGAGTAAGAAAGTCACATATGTAAGCCTGCAAAGAAGAATAAATTATGGAGAAGAAAAATATTCATATTTCGCAGAAAAAACGTCTAATAATCACGAAACTCTCGTAATACATGTAATTCTTTGTCGACATTTCTACGTATACAAATTTATTATCCATTCAATTTGAACCCCATTAAGGATGTTGAGATTGCTACTATTAGTATCAGCGCTCTTATATAAAAAATGTTTTACATATAAACCAATGAATTTTTGTATATTTGTCATTCATGTTGAAATTGAACACTATTTACTGAATAAAATTTGAGAACTCATCAATATTAAACATAACATATATGTTTATCTAAGAGCAACAGCGATAATAAATATATAGAAACTATAAGTATCGGCAATCTTGATTCACACCACACAGATATAATGTCAACTAAATATGATGATTTCGAAATTCATAAGTCTCAAACAAAGGTTATGTTTTCATATATTAAAGTTTTCATTATGTTCGTTTTAAAGTGTATATCATGGGTCATCGTGGGATGGAATGAAAATTTTCCCCCCTGTGGAAAAGAATTTTTATTCAGAAGTTCCTGTGGAATCAAATTAAGGTCTTTCTTAGAAACTATTTCCTGTCAACCAGAAGCTTTGCTGCAGACAATCTAATTCGTTTATTTTTCTAGTATGTTAGATCTGTTACATACTGATGCGTATCTTATAACAAGTGATATAACCTTCAATACGCTTCAATTCATTGATATCATTTTTCACGGGGTGTTCGAAAATCTGTCAGCAAGGATGTTTCAAATATTTTGTGTTATTTTTCATAATTGAATATAAACCGTTTTCATATTTCGAGAGACGTGTTAGTTTCATAGGATTATAAGACGATAGATGAGTAACGTTAGACGAAACTTTTGCGGCCGACATACTTCGCTCGAGCTTCAACCGCACGAAGCAAATATTTTGGCCGGAAGTCCATGCCCTAGGCAAAAGCCGACGCACTTCCTGTCTATTTCCTACTAGGATCTTACAGGATCCTCACATTTAGGATCCACCTGATAACTTCCATCCTAAAATGCTAGAATCCTACTAGGATTTTAAGCTTAAATTTATTTAGGATCTCAACAGAACCATAGAAAATCCTATGATTTCCGGGTATACCTGATTTCATTAGGATTTTATAGAATTTATTAGAATCCTAAGAAACTAAAGCGAAATCCTAGTAGGATATTGGTAGGATATGTCTCAGATCCTGTCAGGAAACCCATAGGACTTTTACTAGAGCGAAATTAATTTTTTTGTCCTGTTCCATGTATGGTTTGAAAAACTTCTTCTCGTCCCATAGAATCCCGTGCAATTATAGTAAATTCGCGTCCCATGACGATTCCTAGTGTATTCTCTTCTTTCCCTCATCACTTATTGCTTGTTACTAATAACTACATATCATACATGTTATATTTACTTTTTTCCTTCAAAGTAGACGTTTATATTACGGTTTTTTCCAACATAGATAATATTTTACAGCTGTTTTTGTTCTATCATAGTAAATCAATTTCTGAGAACATTTTTCTTTTAGCGCTTATATGATTCTTTGACTCTCAATAATACCGTTTATAACTATGTTTTTTTGAAGTAGATTTCAAACGTTTTTTAAATCCACTTATTACTCATCCAAAATGTAGATGAATAGGAAGAGAAGGTTACGTATTTGTTATATTGACAAAACAGGATTATAACAATACTTATATGGTGTATGTGTGTATGTGTAATTCAAGGTATACGAACGCGCAAAATAAAAATGGCCTCAGTAAAAAGTAATTTTAAGAATAAATGAAAAAAGAAAGAATTGACATTTTTTTCTCAATTTTATTCATTTTGCTTCAGTTTTATTATTAAATAATAGAGAACGCATCCTTTTTGTAACAATATTTATTTCAAAACAAATAAAAAATCAGGTATTTATCGAGATGTTTTCTTACTTTAAGAAATACGTTTCTTCGCGTATGTTATCACGTTTTTCGTGCTAGTAAAGCTGTCGTGATTGTACATGCTACAATTGTACTGTGAGGTAGAAATTAGTACTCAAAAATCAGAATTATTATTCCTTTAAAGTAATGATAATCTCTTGTCACTCGGGCGAACAGAACATATTCCACTATCAGGATAAATCACACTTTCTCCAATGGGAAAGTTTGTTTTCTGTTTAGTAAGTGTGTAAGAAAGACATTAATGTTGACTCTATGAGGTATAATGGATGATATTCTATTTTCACATTGTCTAAAGTCTAGTAAAGTTCCTATTGTACAATATCATCCAAAGGGAAATTTTCACCAGTTTTGCACCGTACAAAGAGGTATCTGTTTTATCTAACCAATAAACGACATCTTTTGTATATCAGATAGTAAGATCTCATAGAAAAAAAAGTTAGTCAGATTTTCTCTGCATCAATATGTTGTTCTATTGAGATGAAATTGATCATCTTCACTCTTTTTTAAATAGAATGCTCACTGCCTCTCAACATCCAACAGTTGAATTAATCTCATCTACTCTAAGTCAAACAATCTCAGTTGGTGATATTCTTCTTCATTATGGTTCGAGACCAACGATGATCACTGTGAATATTTGTAAACAAAGTTTACCATTGTCTTCATCATCTCAATACAATCCCGCAGTCTTATATCATCCACCCGTTAATAGATCACAAAATCCAAGTGTATTATGCGACTTAAAAAATATCGAAGAACAACAACTACAACAAGTTGAAAAATCCAATAATACTGCTACAAATAATCTGACTACGAAGTCGAATATTCGTAAAAAAGCCATGTACATACCAAAAGTCGGATGGGAATTTTGTAAAGAAAGTCTGGCTAATTCAAAATTAAGAAAAAAATTGTACACCTCCCATTCGAAAACTAACAAAAAAGATCCAGTGAAAGAAAACGATGATATTACCACCGAGATAACAAATAATGAACATACTCAGTTGTGAAATAAGTTTCTGTATGTGAAATGAAGAATTTAATATATATTTTAACACATAGTTGAGAATAATATATTATTCTCAATATCTTTCAGTTGAGACTATCTACGTATCAGGTTGGGGGTCTTCCAGAAAACCTCTGAAGATCTTCAGGTAAAATCGCAGTATGATAAATAACTCTGACATTCCTAAACTGTACAGGAGGCGAAACTGAGTGAGTTTTGACAACTTGAAACAATTTGATTGAGAAATGAAGGTGCTGGAAGCTTTTTATATTAATACGATCAAAGCGGAAAAATTAAATTTTGTGAAAAATTCATGTTTTCAAGTTTACTTAACCCATACAACAAAATAAACATTGCCACGAGATTCAGCGTGCCCGAAAATGTATGTACCATGTACTTTTAACATTCCCAGGGTCCAGGTTTAGCCGATAGAACGTCCTCGTAGATTGTCTGTAGCGTCTGACTACGGCAGATGGAGACTTGGGACTTGAGCCAGGTTGTAGAGTGACATCTGTTCTATATCTTCATTCTTTTAGAGCAGTACTCCACTATAAGGATTTTTGTAATGGCAGGAGCGAGCATTTTGTTTTGAAAGGTACACCATGATAGAGCTGTATGAAAGGACTCGTTTTAGCATAGACTTATGTCCCCAGGTATCCTGTTTCAAAATGAATGAAAACCATAGATCTCTAGTGTTTTTCCTTCAAAGGTTATTCAAAAAACATCTGTAGTCTTTACATTTTGAAATGGATAGTAGAAGGCTGTGATTTTCGAAAATTATGCATTTTTACACACTTTATCCACCGACATTTTGAAATTTGTTTTAATACAGCTCGCGATGCACGTATCCACCGACTTGAAATTTTTACCTCATTTCAACATTATTTAGAGCAGTCTTAAAGCCATTCAGAGAAATAGAAAATATGGAAAAATGCGCATCGACATTTTGAAAATTTTGCACACCGACATTAGAATGACCATAACTCTACCAACATAACTATTTGGAAATCACTCAGTCATGCTATGACGCTAGTGTACAGAGAATTTGGCTAAAACAAACACAGACAGCAACAAGATTCTGTACAGGGAATGATCGTTGTAGTCGAAATACTTTCCATCACTCAGCTTATTGTATACCAGTCAACTGGTCTTTGAAAGGAGATTGAACTGCCAGTTTAGTTTTATAAGAGGTAGAATTGGCGACTATTTATGACAATGCATCACTTTAGAGACGGTCTTTTACCACGACCTTATTAACATATTCGGTAATATACCAAGACTCTTTTGCATTGTCACTAGCAATCTTCAATACCTTTTGTGCTCTGTTATACATATTTTTCTCAGAATTACTTTCATTTGCTTTATTTTCCTTATACAAACGATCGATTTTTGTTATACTACTGACGAAGACGGTGCGTCAATCATAAATGGTCAGTTGATTTCATAATAATTCATTTCAATGGTAGGATTAATAATATATACAAACTTAATAAAATCTGTCGTGCGGTGAAAAAGTATTTGATATTTTCTAGTATGGAACAGGTGAACTTTTAGATAATAACAAATTTCTGGTGGCTTGTTGAGAATCAAATATCTGACGTGGGTGTTATATATTTTCTGCTATAACTTATTTAATTTTCTGTGGATTCTTTTATGGTCATACTGACATGTTGTTTATCTTCAGCAACAGCAGTATCGATAGTACTGAGGTTACTAGTAAAGACTATACCTAAACACGTCATACGGTCTAGTAAACTCGCATACAAGTTGACGTCGTCTCATACTACGCGACTACTGTTCCATGAACAATCCTTCTTCCGAAGATGTTGTTTCACATCAAGTGTAACTATGACTGTATTTTTCTTTATTCATCACTTTTAGCACGGGGAGTGTCATGAAATTCGGATGTTTTTGAGTCCGGGAAGACTTTTTATCCGGAAATCCTACTCGCCCATGCAACTCTACCCGGATGTAATTTTATCCGGTTTAAGAGTCTGTAAAATTTCCGGATGAGTTTCCCTCGATCAACCCCGGTAAAAAATATTCTATATGAGTTTTTCACTTGCAATAAAAAGCAATGCAAGTCCGATTGTTAATCAGTTGTATATTAGTCTTAGATCGTACATCAAGTAAGTCCAGTATGACGTAATAGGGTAAGTCTACAATATATAGATAAAATATATATAGAAAAAATATACCAGAATATGGAACAGAAAAAATGACTCATATTTTTAATAATATTTAGTAATATTATTTTTATCTTCTATTTTTTTAATTCGAAAAACGTAGTACTGTAACTAGGACGAAAGTGTTTCTTTGTACTGCAGTAAGTCCAAAGTAAACTATTCTCAGCTCTGTCAGCATTAAAAAGGAATGAAGTGAATCTTTCTATAAAACCTCTATTATATTTTATTTGAAGTACCCACCCCTCACCCGAACTGTCTCATAATGTAAAAGTAGTAAAAGAAAACTATTTCACTATGTACAACACACTCAATAGTGCACAACAAAAACACAGAATTCTAAACTATACATAGAAAGAAACACAAGAAAAGAATAAGCTCATCTGAACTAATAATAATGGAAGAAAGTAGTTATTACTTTGATGAAATTTTTTCATGAAAACAATAGTTCACTAAACGCACTTATAAACACAACACCATTAAATTTTATTGTAATGCAGCCAAAGTTGCACTAAATTCCAGTTTTAAGTAACTATAAGAGTCGACAACACAGAATGATACTCTAGCGTGTGAGGACATGCCTTATGAATGAAACCAACTCCAAATGTACTTTAATAATGGAACTACTAGTATTACTATTATACTCTATGACAAGCGGACTTGCATTGTTTTTTTAGTATAAGTGACAAACTCATCTAGAATTTTTTTCTCGGACTTGAGAGTTTTTTTACCGGAGTTGATCGAGGAAAATTCATCCAGAAATAAGTCATCCGGAGTCCAACATGTCCGACAAATGATCCTTCCGGACATGTTGGACTCTGGATGAATAGTTTTCGGATGAGTTAAAAAAAGGATATTAATAATCCGAATTTCATGACACTTCCTCCTGCAAAGCAAAAGTGGACAGGCTGTGTCACAGAATGGATAATATCCGTATATATTATGGCATCGCTCGAGCAAGTATGAGAAACCAAGCACTGCGCTTTCCGTTTACACCATAAGATGGAAAGGTCATCATATACCCAATCTTTGTGAAACTAGGTGAAGCACATGCATTTGACAAAAGTGATTGCTGCATAGAAACATTTTTCATTCTTTCTGTTGTGCTGACGCGATAGAGAAGAACAGAATAATCGTCAACAACAGTAATAATAATACAATCACACACACGAACTTCTATTCGAGCAAAACAAAATCATCGTGAAAAAGGAAAGGTAGGTTTATATCAGAGCAGTGCATAGGATATTTATTTTTGACCTGTTCTACCACCCTGCCCTGTGCAGTCCTGTCCTGCCTAAAGAATGACTCATAAAAAAAATGTCTTCCTACCGTACCCTGTCGGACAGGGCAGGACGCGTTGTCTTATAAGATAAATACCAGATGTTTATCTTTTTCTCGACAAAGTTAAAAAAGCACACATCTTTCTTCATTTCAAACCACAACGACTTATTTTTATTCTTTTCATTAAGAAACAAACACTGTTTTTCCATAACACAATAGCACGAAGGAAGAGAGAGGATCAGGCAGGAGCTTCCTAAAAAAAGCTTAAGTTTTGCCCCTATATGTGCCCTCAGACTATCGTTTGGCGATCGTTTGGAGATGCACATGTTCAAACCAAACATTGTTAGTGCATAGATAAGAAAGGATCAGTTATTGAAGAGTGGGATATGAGTGGAGAATGGAGAATGATGAGACGATGGTCGCCACCTATGTCCTCTCAACAGAATGAATATATTTATGATATTCGATTTTCATGTAATGACAGTGGTTTAGGAGTAACGGTGGGTGTAGTTGATTAATACATTGAATTTCATATACGAGATCGGTTGATGAAGATCCTCAACAACATCACATTTCCTTGTTTGACATATGGGCATCATCTTCTCTCTCTTCCCAATGGACAATGACCGACACATGAGTCTTGGAATAAAGAACTTCATATCATTGGCAGGGATAGTAAAATGGAACAAACGCTCACATATGATAAGAGTGTGTGGAGAACAGCATTATTAAGACAACGATGTCTTGTTCTTCGAACGTGTGATAATGAACTGTGTTTTCATGATTTATGACGTTAGTTGAAAGTATATAAATATCAATTGAAGAAAGTAATTGATGATTGAAAATGATTCATGTGTAAAAACAATGGAAGTTGATGAAAGACCAATAAAACAATATGGTGATGTGAATGAACAAATTGAAATTATTATTACGATTTAGAGCCAACAAGCGAATAAAAATAAATTTTTGTACAGCAGCAGTCATTTATTTTTAAATAAATGACTGCTGCTGCAGTATTACGAGCAGAATGAGCTCACCGACATTACGTGGTGCACCCAAAACGAACTAAAAATATTCTTAAAAATCGAATAAGAGATCAAAAATACCAATTTCCACTGTTTTCTTTATAGTAGAAGTACTCAACGAAATGTATCGCAGCCTCAATGGAAAAAATGTGTCGCAAGTGGTTCCCGGTGTCGCAGATGATTATGTCGCAATTGCGGCACATCATTTTTTAGTGTGTGTTAAACAAAAAATGCTTCTTTGCCTGCTCATTCCCGTCTTTTTTGTGATTATTCTCCATCCACCCGTTTTGAATAGGCTATTCAATAGAAGATTTAAAGTTGGTATGAGACTGGTACACAGAGATGTCCGTTTGTTGAGATCGATAAGCGTTTTGAGTTGTGCGAAGAGAAAGACTTAGACACGTCTCAAAGTATCTGAATAGATGGCTTCAATAGTGCTACGATTCAGATATTGCAAATTCCTCTCTACTCGATGAGATCTTTTATTGAGATAAAAGAAGAAGGTATAACTAAATAAAACACTAAAGTCAGCACTTTTGCATAAAAAGAGTAAAGAAGCAACTAAATACTTACGAGAGTGTGCTAGTTACACGGATTCAATTTGTGGTTGAAAAAGAAAACTGGTTACTTTAAAATCCTGTAGGAGGAAGTTTTTTATGTATTTGATGCAGTAGTTCTCTATTTGTATACCTATATCCTTTTTCTTTCACATTTGTAACAGTCTGAAGGTGCTAGACAATGATCATATTCATGTAGGAGTGACTTTGTCGAAAGATATGATATGAATCAAACATATTGAGAGACTTGTTTCGAGTGTACACTCTCATCTTGGATTAATGACCTTAAATCAGTGGTTATTAAATGGGCATGTGCTTGAGACAGTTTATAAATCTTTTATGTTTTCTGCATTAAATTGTGGTTCAGTGGTGTTCTTTTACTACTGAAAAAAATCTTTTGAAATTAGATGGTGTTCAGAAGTTAGCTGCAAGGATTGTTTCAGGCGCAATAAGTAGAACTTCATCTTTGCTCTTGAGAGATCTACATTAGTTGCCTGTTAGTCAGTATTTCTTCGGTAAATTCCCAATTGAGTGAAGTGATATTTCAGTTCAATCGGGAAACTTAACTCATTTAAGAAAAAACAAATTCTTTATTTTTGCTTGTTGAATTCTTCACGTGATATACGTAATTGTGGATTAGATTTATGATCAAAGGAATCACTATTAATCTGGATGAGGAGATCCCAACAAATGTTGATCAGTCTTTTAAAATCGTTCATTTCTTGGCATTACAGACCGGAACTCTCGTAGACGGATCCAATATTATTATATTGTGAATTATAGATTTTAAATGAATTATAAAGGCTTATTTGAAATTAGTTAAAGCTAACTGGTAATCATTTTCGATGAGTTTTCTCTATAGGTTTACACTTTAATCGTGTAATATCGAATACGTACATTCATTGATATATTACTTGTTGGTTTGTAGCTCTGAATTTTTTGTTGCCAATAATCTTTATATAACCTGCTTAAATCATATGTTTGAGTTGTCATTTGATTATAAATCTGATTCAAATATTCTCGATTCAGATGTGTTGAAGAATAATTTTTGACGATTAATACGGGTAACTGGTCATATATCGAATCGAGACTACTTGACTGAACAATTGGAATTGAGTTTAAATAAAGAGATTCCCAGGTACGATAACAATCGAGACCTACACCTACGGTGAAAAGTAAAAAATCAGTTAGTTATTTTTAAATTTGTAAACTCAATAATGGATAGGTTAGGATACACTAATTAAATAAAAACTGTTTTTTATCCTGAGATATTCATATGCTGAACCTAATAAGTAAAATTATTTAATGAATATTTTCAAATCATAAGTGTACTTTTTTACCTGGTGGTGATAAAACAAATTTACTTTGTGCTATATCCTGATAAAAGTTTAGTAATGATTTATTACGTTCATAGAAACATTTTGTAATATTTTTTAGTGCATCTTGATTACATGCTAGATCCCATAATGGTTTTCGAATCTTTTCGTTTGATGCTGGACTAAACGATGCGAGTAGTAGATAATCATTGGATTTTGAATACTTTAATGTCGCTGCTATTTCCATGTTATATCGTTGATTCTCCCATTGACTAATACCATTTGGTATACAGGTGAAATGTTGTGTTTTTTTATGACGTTTCGAACCGAGATCACAGTTCATTGCAAACCAATGTAAAATATGAGTTTTACCATCCAATATATTTTCTACAATTAAAAGAATGAATACGATATGCTATAGGTTTAAGAGTAGTAGGTGTACCTATAAGAGAAGTAGTTATTCCTGTTTTGCTTTCTAAATTTGTTGGAACTGAAATATCTGAATCGCCCGTAATTAATATATAATCAACCTTAATGTTTTGATGATAATCTTTTAAAAATACTTCAATATCTGGCGAATCTACAAAGAAAACAGTACCCGGTTGAATACATGGTATGAGTTCTTTGGTTAATTTTGGTAGTTTGAATCCATCTGGCACTTGTAAGGTACCATAGTGTAGATCAGCAATTAATTTTACATCAATCGGACTCAAACGGCGTAAAATTCTGTGTTTATCCGGAGTAAACCATGTCAAATTTGATGTTGTCCAACAACATCGTTCTAAACAGCCACGGCTGATTAGACTACCATGATTAAAATGCCATAGTTCATATTGTTCAGTTAATCGTAGTACTTCGATCTGTTGTCTGCTTATATGTGATTCTAAGTTAATAGTATTGTTAGGCGAGATTCATTATTGACGTCAAAGAAAAAACAGGAGGAAAAATGTTAAAATTTTTCGTGCAGAGACAAAAAAATGTCAAGTTTTAGTTGTCGTGGATACTTTGATCTCCACTTGCCTCTCATTTCATATAACGTTTATTAATAAACAAAAAATAGGAATGTAAGTTTAGGTGTTATAAAAGCGGCTGTGTATTAGTTGCATTTATCTTATAGATAATGATTCGATCATCTTGTCATGTTTGTGTTTCCTTTCGTTGCTCCGAAAGTTCAAATACTCACAAGCAAAAAAGTTGAGCTCAGATTCCAAAAATCACTTGTAGAAAAGTGTCAAAAGCTCTGCATGCAGTATGTACGCTTTTATATGATGAACATAGATTCTAGCACTATTCGAACCATAGAAGAGAATTAAGCGTCAATTACAGCATCTACTCGAGCGTACATTTCGATCATATTTTATGTCAACCCGAAAGTTGACAATGTTTTTCGATTTCCTAGGTCATTGGTTACGATGGCCATATAAGGCGAATTACAACCGTATACTATAACTTAAAATGCCGTAACTTGACGTAATTTGACTGTAATCCTATGCTTCGTAACACTGCAATTGTAAACAACCTTTTTGCGCCACAGTTTATGGCCGTAATACGCTCGTTTACGGCGCCAGTACTACGCAGCATATGATTACAGCGTCGTAAATCGATTTTTACGTGTTAAATCATCTGAGAGTTTTCGTGTGAAAAGTGAATATTTTATTAAGTCATTTGGTCCCAACTTACGCTTATCGTAAATGATTCACGTGGTATCAGATAAACATTAAAAAATAATGTGTCACAAAACGCGATATATTCGGCTGCGACACATTTTTTCTATTAAGATTGCTACACAGTCTATGAGACATGTACGACACATTCTGCATTGGGCTCAAAAGAGTTTAGCTGTTGAGATATAAGTTTAGGAGTGTAATTAGGGACAGAATTGGTTATAAAGACCAGGTTAAACTGCATGAACATAGATGATGGTCAAAAGGTACGAACAATTTAGTTCAATTTGGCTTAAAGAAGGATTTCAAGCCTTAGAAAACCACTAAATCAAAGAAATGAGTTACATTTTTCTTTTATTAGCGACATCTACCGCTGGTTCCAGGGACGGCAAAGAAATATCAACGGAGAATGCTACAGCACACTAAAACAGGGGCAGGAGTGATTTCGTTCCTAGAGCAGAACATACGTGCTAAAACTACACCTTTCGAACCCTAGCAACTACGACACTTCAAACGCAACACATTCGTTTGCGACACATTCTGCTCAGAGAGTCTGCGACAAATAAATGCAACACATTATTTTTTACTGCGTATTCAGAAAGCATATTTGATTTATTTAATTTGGATGTTAAAAAAGTATTCTTTTAATGTTGACTGCTGGTAAAAAGCACTTCGTTTCGTGTATACCTGCACCCTAGAGATCAAATCTTATATAATGTATAAATCCCGCTTTTTTATCAGAATCTTAACTTAGTAGATGAAGTTCTTTTATGGTTGATTCTAGTGCTTTAGTAAGACAGATATGAAAAGAGTTTTGGTGCATAATAGTAGGATTCGAACTGCTCTATTTTGTGCGACTTAGAAAGCCGGAATTGAATCTGATCTTGATAGAAAAAAAGGATCTCAAGTAGCGCATTTTTCTAGAGATCAGTTTGAAAAAGCGGGA